TATTTCACATTTTTAGTATTACCAAACGATAGTTTTTAGAATTAGGGGGGAAATGCAGCCTCAAAGTCTCAGAAGAGATCAGTTTATACAAGTCTATTTCCAAGGTGCTTTGGGGATTTGCAGATGGATAATAAGCTCTCTGGTTACCATATGCAGGGCTTCCTAGCCTGGTTAGTCAGCTCTCAGGTTACCATATGCAGGGCTTCCTAGGCTCTGACTATTGTAGATTTTCATAAATGAAGTAACTTCTTAAAAAAATGTGTTTTTAGTTCTGGAGGTTGGAAGGTCTAAGATAAAGGGATTGACTGATTCTCACACTGCCTGCTTGTGTCCACTTTCTAGTGTGTAGACAGAGCCTTGGTGCTATGTCCTCACATGCTGGGAGGAATGTGTCTCTCAGCCCTCTTGTGTAAAGACACCTACTAAACACCATGGCCCCGGTACCTGAATCAGGCTCTCTCTCCATCTTACCATCACCTTGTGGGTTAGGGTTTTATAGTATGAGTTTGGAGGTGGTTATACAACATTAAGACCACAACTAAATATATTTTCCCTCCAATTATGAAGTATAATTTCCTATACATATAAAACGTGTATTCCATTGTCCACCCAAGCAGAAACAATGCACTATCATTTAAAACTTATAATTAAGTAATGATGTAATAGAACCCATCATTTAGAACATGCAGGCTCAAGTCCATTGTAGCTAGTTTGTGAGGCTGGAAATTCAAGTGATGTATCATGAGTGATTCCTATAAAAAACAGTCTTCCTGGTTATTTATGAATGCAGTCATGGGCTTTGAGGTCTTATCCTGCTTTATGGAGATGAGTTTTACATTTGAAACAGAGTACACTTATTAATGGGTCATGTTAATATGAAGTCTTCATTACCACATAAAATATACATTTGTGTGTGTGTATATATATATATATGTTGATATAGTCAAATAACATAACTCTAAGTTGTATTTTCTTTCACATATTTTATACCTAAAATCAGAATATGCTTTAGGATACATAATGATCTCTACTTTATTTGGCAGCATTAAATAATTGAGCAATTCACAACTGGTTGTACCCTGGAGTCACTGACATATTCTATAGATTATGTAAGACTGTAGAGTCTGTAAACTCAGAAGTTGCTTCAGTAATTTTAAATCAACACCTTAAAGCAAGTCAAAATTAAAGTAAAATACAATGTGCTTGACAATGCATAAACAAGGAAGAATTTCACATACTTTTTAAAATTCATAATATATCATTATCTTGTTTTTAACCATAACAATCATCCATAGTCCCAAGGTTACAAAAATAAGCCATGGTCTGTTTTGGTCCTTAGGCCATAGTTTTCTAAGCCCTGACTTCTAAGAAGATATAGCTTTGAGTAGTAACACATGCCTATGAGCCTAGCACTAACGAGGCTGAAGCAAGAGGACTGACTGCTCAGACCTACCTAGACTACATAGCTAACACCTGCTTCCAATCAAAGACTAAGCTAGGAGGTGGTGGCACACACCTTTGATCCCAGCACTCAAGAGGCAGAAGCAGGAAAGAGATCTCTATGAGTCTGAAGCCAGTCTGGTCTACAGATCGAGTTCCAGGGCAACCAGGGCTACATGGAGGAACTCCTTCTTGAAAAACAAAACAAGAAATAAAATGGAAAATAAAATCATTCTCAGCACCACTTTTCTAAATCCTTTTGGCTTTGGGACAGCCAAGGTTGGCCTGGAACCCACAACTCTTTCTCCGTCTTCCAGAGTACTAGATAGGAAGGCCTTAACCATCACACCTGGCTTATAAAGTCTGCCATGGAAGCTGTGAACTGGCCCATGTTGGACAGCAGAGGGAGGGTTCCTGGTAGAGGCTAGAGATGAAAACTTCTTTGCTGTGGTAGGTACCCACTGCAGCCCCCATGCAGATGCTAAGGGCTGCAGTGGGCACTAAGGGCCCAGCTATGCTGTGAATGGGTTTCAGCCAGCCAGCGTCTGCGTTTTACAAGGACCATAACACCAAAGGTACTCAGCAGTGCAGTGTCTTAGAGGGCTATGAATGGCTCACAAGGCAGGTCTGCAAAAGTGCTGATGGATCCCACATGTTAGACAGCCGTCAGCCCTAGCTTTCTCTTTGCGCTCACACTTCCTTAATGGCGATTTGCCCACTGGTAAGTGTGGTGAAGAAAATGAGAAGAACACGCACATGAACACACACTTGCACACACACACACAAATGTGCTAAAGACATTTCAGGGTTATAAAAAGTGGTACAGCCTAGTGATTAATTTTTCAAATGTTTTTCGTCTACTTCATATGAGTCATTCTATTACAAGCTCATGAACTCAAAAGAACCCATCATTTTGGACATTCCTTAGCTGGGTGTGGAGGCACCCCTGTAATCTCAGTCTTCAGGAGGTAGAGGAAGGGAGATCATAGGTTCCAAGCGTGACTGGATTCCATAGCAAAACCCAAGACTATAAAAACACCAACCAACAAATAAATAAACTGATAGACATTTAAGGGTAACATTTGGAACAATACATAGTTACTATTCTGTATAAATTAATATGCTCCAAATACATGAGTCTCGGATAGTCTTAAAATGTTAATACTGGGGAAAAGAGAGTTGTGTAAAATTGCTTCTAAGTTATAACATTTCTTATAAACTAGAAAAACCAAAACACTTTCTTATGCTGAGACAAAGGGCTTCTTTAACTAGTGTTTATTCTTGATGTTAATTTGGATAAAAACACATTTGAAGGGTTTTTGTTCAATCTCTTCACTGTTAGCTACAGCACTACAAAGTATATTTTAATGGGAGTTGGCTTTACCGTTTTGACAGGCATGAGATAACAGTTTGGGGAAATGTGTCTGTGCTCAATTTTGCTTCCCATTTCTGACTTTTAAACTCTTTGTCAGACTCAGAACTGGGAAGCACTGAAGATGATTAAGCACTTGCCTTTGGGAATTATTTGCAGTTAATTAAAGCTGCACACTCCGGTGTATACTTGATTCGCTGGTTATTAAGCTGAATCATATGATAACTACCTCGGTTTCTCGCTTGTCCATCAAATGTTGCTTGTGGCAGACTGAAGAAACACGCTTTCTCATAATAATCGAAAAACATGATGTTTGAAGCTATCTTCCAGTTCTGAGATGTGGGGGAGGACGAAAGTGAGGGAGTCAGGGAAGGGAAGCAAACAAACAAACAAAATTTTATTTCAGATTCTATCTGACTTTGCTATCGGGGTCTTAGAACTCAGCTTAAGGGTACAATGACAGAAAAGAAGCAATTCATGAGAATTAAGGTGGAGTTTGATGGCTCCAATTTTCTCCCTAGCTGAATGTTGACAAGATCGGCTAGTAATATTTAGGTAACTTGAATTTTGTCCCATTGGGATGTATAAGAAAGATATCCTGGATTGCAAGCTTCATGGAGGGAGACACCTATTCACTGTTGGGTATCCAAGGCTAGACCAGCATCTGCCATACAGTTTGTACTCAACAAATACTTGGAAAACGAGTGAAAGGCCTACTTTCCGTATTGCTGCTGACCTATCTAGAGGTTCTTTTCAATGTCTTTTTTCAAGATCCTCCAGAGGGCTCACCACCTATCATTGTAGACTGTCAGGAATTCTTTATTACAGAATACTTTCACCTGGGCTGCTTGTTCTGCAGCATGAGCTGTAACAATAAAACTGAGCGTGTAGGGGCAGGCAAGAAAGTCCACCAGGAAAAGGTGCCTGCCACCAAGCCTGATGACCTGACCTGAACTCCTGAGATCCATAGAGTAGATGGAGAGAGATAATACAAGTTGTCCATTGAGCTCTACATGAGCGCCCTAGTGCTCTTCATAGCACGCGTGCGCGCGCGCGCGCGCACACACACACACACACACACACGCATCCCACACATCCACACATGCACTAATGTAAAATGTAATTAACAATATTTTTAATTTGTTATATTAAAATGGGGGTAATTCCATACTTAAAAGGGCACTTAGAGGGTGAGAATCACTTTGTGTAGATTGGAAGTTCCTTATCCCCCTTCTTGCTCCTGTCAACTGCTTAGGGACCTTGGGATGACCTTGCTTGCTGGGGTCTTCCTTTTCCCCACAGTCTGTTGGCCACCAGGCTATGAGGACAAAGGGAGCAGAGGTGGTGAACAGGGCTTGGCCAGCTGCGAGTAGGATGGAAATAACCTTCGGGATCCAGCTTCAGTGAGACAGCATGAAGGGAATATATAGGACAGGGCTAGCAGCTGGGGCATCCCCTAATAGGTACTCATAGTATGCTTTGTTGGCATTAGTCAACACGATCCCATCATACAGGTGGGAACACAATACCTAATTATCATATGGGTGCCAGAGGGGAGGCATTTGCAGGAAACTGTCAAAGTTCACACTTGGGATAGATAAGTCAGGCATCCAAGTTCGGAGCACTGCCAAATAAGGTCGGGCAGAGAGTAGGGGGCCCCTGATGGGGTAAAGGAGTCTTCCATTTTGTGCCCAGCCTAGAGGGCTGTCCAGACATGGCAGAATGCAACCTTAAGTGGCAGGGACTTCCAACAGCTTATTACTGGGTTACCAAGGACCAATATTTGACTTTTCTTGGGACTTGGGGTTCACATATGTGAACAACTAGAATACTGGGAACGCTAAGAACATGAAAATGAGATATCTCTTCAGTCCTCTCCAGTTTGCCCTCCTTTCCTGTTCCTTTCCCACAATTCTGAGACTTCACTGGTGCATGAAGCCCACTTCATATGCTTTCTTCTCTGTTACAAAGATACCTCCACGATTCTCTCTGCTTCTGAAGCTTTGTGTGGCTTCCTTCAGCAAGATTTTAAGAAAATAGAATTTGATGGTAAAAATATTTAAGCGTTTTGATGGTTACAGTTGGAAAGAATAAAGTATATTGTCTTAAATGTTAATCTATCCTGTTAATAATAGAAAGGGCTCCCTTTCGCAGCTGAAAATGATGACTGTGTTTGTTTGTTTGTTAGGAGATTCTGCAAAGGATGACGATGCTACAAAAGACAGCGATGTAGCCAATCATGCCGTGTGTGAGCAAGAACTTCCCAATGGTATGTTGTGTGGTCTTTTTTCAGCTCTTTTTTTTTCTATTGAGGTGTATGGTATATTAAAAGTCAGATGTGAGGTTTTCCCGTAAGAGTAGAATTCTGATGCTATTTCCTTACACCAGCATCTTGGTGAGATACTGTTGCCATCCTCAATCTTTGTCACTCATTACTTTTAACCAAACTGGTATCATTTATGTTGTTTATTGTTACCTGCCTGGATTCTATAAGCAATCGTTTTGGAACCATTGAGATGAATATATNNNTATATATATGATAAAAATGAAAATAAATGTGAGGCAAATGGAGACTAAGCCCAGGAGACTAAATCTCCTTATCCATATCCTTGGGATACCAAGAAAAATAAAGAGCCCACAGAAATAAAACAATTTATAGGACAATATTAGAGAGAAAAATGTTTTCCTAATGCAATCTAGTTTCCATGCCCAGAATGTAAGAGGGAATATATATTCAAAAGTAATGAAAACTCAAATAAGAACAGACACCTCCATAGCTTCGTATAATTTCTGAAGATTGGTGGCTAAGACAGTCTTGTAAAGTATACAAGAAAGACAAAATCAGTACAAGCAACATCACTAAAATCCAGCCCCAATCACTGGGAGAAGATCAGGATGGCTGAACTGTTTAGCAATCCTAAGAACCTGAGGCTTTTTTAAAAACTAAGTGCAGAAGAGGAAACACAATTCAGACTGAGGAAGGCATAATGGGAAGGTTCCATGTGGTAAACAGAACATATGAAAATTGTTTAAATGATAATGTTTTAATTAGAATCAAAATTATATAACCATTTTTTAACTTTGAACATATATATCGTTTAAAGGTGACAGAGAGGATTTATACTCTTAGTAATTAAAGTCAAAATAATTTGTTATTTCTCTTATTAATATCAACTAGACAACCTAAACAGAAATATACATACACTGTATTCACTGATTATATTATATTTCATGTACTTTTATTGCTTTTTATTACATATGAGCTACACATATAGTATTCACATTAGATAGATAGATGATAGATAGATAGATAGATAGATAGATAGATAGATAGATAGATAGATAGATAGATAGATGTCAGATAAATAGAAATAGAGATAATATATATATATATACACACACACATAAATTCATTTGAAAAGGAGGCTGTTTAAAGGTGTTAAAGAGTTAAAGTCAATAAAGAATTGTCCAAGGTCCAAGAGAAGGTGACTCTCTAGATTGTGAATCTAAAGTTTAAAACTGCCTTTGTCCTGGGGAATATGTTCAGCAAAGAACATCTGGAATCATGTTTCTAAAAAAGCAGAGGGACTCTTAATAGCCCTTTCAAGTATTATGAGTAGAAAGCCCAAAGATACATACAATGGCAGTACAGTGAGCCAGCCAAGGGTCTGCCTTATGAAACCTAATACTCATTTTCAAATTACCTCCATTCCAAAAGTAAATTAATACCAGCCCAGAATTCCAGGTCTCCTAAGCACTGAAGATGAACACACATGAGATAGTAACTAGAGAAAGAAAGGACCTTATCCACATGAAACAATTTTTATAAATAATGCAAAAAATTACCAAATAAAAGGAATTAAGGTAGCCAGAGACTCAGAGATAAGAGATTTTTAGTCTATGAGATGAAAATGTTGCTGATATATACAAAGTATAAGACAGTGACACTGGGGGCTGGAGAGATGGCTTAGTGGTCAAGAGCACGGCCTGATCTTTCAGAGGATACAGGTTCAATTCCCAGCACCCACATGGTAGCTTATAATTGTCTGTAACTCCAGTTCCAAGGGATCAGGCACTGTCACGCAGACACATACGCTGGCAAAACATCAATGTACATAAAATAAAGATAAATAACTTTTTTAAAAAAAGAAAGATAGTGACACTAGATACTCATATGAAAGAATAAAGGCAAGATTGAAATTTTAAACTGTGAATGGTTATTATTAAAAGCAAAAATCAGAAAGTAAAGACAAGTCAGAAGTAAAGTGTGTGCTAACTCAAATTAACTCAATAAACACATTCATGTTCTAAGAGTATTTGGGGACCATATGAAAGATAGTTTGTGAACCATGGGTTAGATATGAGGAATATATCTGAATTAAAAAAAGCAAAGAGAAAATGAGATGACAAACACCAAAGTAGGGAAATGTCATTTATTATATAGTGATGAAGTATATCATGAACTGAATTAGAGAATAAATTGATCAGCATCAATATTTGAAGAAATTATGTGAGAAACTTTGATAAAAAGATTGGGTGTGATTTCATCAAAAGTTTTGAACTTGAAGCAGAACAAATCAAGGTAAATCCACAGCTAGTTCCATCACAGTGAAACTGCTGAAATGGTCAGATTTCTTCAAATGTTATGCACTTCAAGCAGAATAGATGGAAATAAATCTACAGCAAGACCCATCAACACAAACTGCTGATATCCAAAGATAAAAATAACAGCTAAAAAGAAGCCATCCAATAAATGCTTTGCCAATAGATGACTTTCCAGTAGATACAATGACAATGCAAAAAAAATACAACAAAATTATAGTCAACCAAGAACTGGAAACCCTGTAGGAAAAGTATGTTTCAAGAATAAGAAAGAGCGAATTAAGTCTATTTTACAGGGAATCTCCAGATGCTCCACAGTGGTAGACAATACTGATTAAAGGTAGAAAGTCAAAGATCTGTGAAAATATTAAGAGGAAAGTAAATTAAATATAAGTCTTGCTTGTTCTTTTGGAAGACAGGAATAGTGTCTCCCTCTATTAGGTCTTTTCCTAATGTCAAGGAGATTAAAAGTGCTAACGAATGTTTGAATCTTATAAGTTTCAACGATCCCTGAAAGTGAGAAAATGAAATGAGTCCTGTCTCAGATGATTTCCTGGGGAATTTCCAGGTCATGGCCCAAAGGAAAAGGATTTTGGCAGAGCTCCATGGGCTCCCTGCATAGTGGACACAGAACTGAGAATCCTGGAAGCTTAAGTGTATAGAGTTGCAGGTCAGAGTCATGGGAGCCTAACATTCCTGCATATTGAGAGCAATTGGAGCATGAATGAAAGGCAATGACCACGCTCAGATAAAAGATGTTAAAAAAAAAAAAAAAAAAGATTTGATGCTATTAGTTGAGCTTCGATGATTGGGACGGAGTTGTTGGCTGGGAGGGAACATGTGAGGGCTTCTAGACTGGATAGTTCTAAAAAGGCATAGCCTTTATGTGTGCTTTAGTGGTTAGCTTAAGTTCTATACAGTTTTCGTTTGTTTCTTCTCTGTCTTTGCTTTCCTATAACTTGATGGCTAAATGAAGAATGGAGAAAGAAGCAAAGGAAGAATTAATTGTTTATTTTGTTTATTGTTCAGGGTTATACTCATAGCCTAGGTGATCCTAGAACTCACAATGGAGCCTCAACTAGCCTTAAATTTGTGACAATCCACCCTCAGCCTTCCACTTTTGGCATTATAGGCATGTTTGAATGAATTATTAATGGAAGGCTTCCAAACAAAGATTATGGCAGAGAGCCCAAGATTGGCACATAAGGCTAACCATCCATAAAGGTAACTAACACCCAAATTAAAAATTCTGTACTATGTTTCTAAGAATATAAATTACCATGAAGAATATCCTTGAAAATTGTATTAATTTTGATGGTGCATACCTATAATCCTATTACCTAGGAAGTTGAAACCTGAAGATTACAAATTCAATACAAGACTGGGCAACAGAACAAGCCTCTACCTCAACACACACACACACACACACACACACAGTTATACAAGAATCACAAGTAGAATAAAGTCACAATAGAATTAAAAGAAAATATCTTTATTAATTTCCCCCAAACTGATTATGAACATGAATGTTCAACAATTCATATAATAATAAATGTATGTAACTTTGCAGTGAATGCACATTGTATCAAATGAGGGGACAAAAGTACAAGCAGGTATGAGCATACATATGTAAAATTAGGTTACTTTATCAAGTGTAAGAACCAGAACAATTTAGTTAAGTTCAATAATATTATAAAGACTTAACAGGATAGAGTTAGGAAAAGAAAGGGGGTATTTAAGGAATTACACATCACATGAGAACAGGAAAGGTGGCTTTGGAACCTATCAGTCAAAAGGCTCAAAGAAGGAGTCGGTCATTTAGTACTGATGGAAGTCTGAGCCCCTCATTAAATATTACAATGATGGGATTTAACATGTCAGATGGTGAGATAAGATGCAATACAAAGAAAAACCTGCTGGAAATACAGCAAGGAATTCACAGACGTAATGTGGTCAGCAGTGATAAAAGCAATAGACCACAAACAACATGGGGTGTTTTTAGAATGTGATTAACAGTGTAGTCCTGCTGTAGGAAGGGGCGGGCAAATCTATGAACCAGACTAACACATCTAGAAGTGAGACCAAGTCCATCACGCAGGCTGGCATTTCACAGACTGATGACTCAGTAAATGACCTTAAGACAACTAGCTGGATATTTACAAAAATAAATGAATAAACTAGATCCCAACTTCAATCCTTACACCAGTGTGAGCACTCCAGATGGGGTAAAGATGAAATATGAAAGTAATATGAAACATTAGAATAAAAGAACCAAGGGTTATTCAACACTATAAAGAAAGACTGAGAGATAACTTAAATGCCTATTATTAAGTGGCAGAGGCCGACCAGGAAAAATTATGGGCCATGTGCCTCCAGGTACATGACATTCAAGCAGAAACATGAAGATGGGGAAAGATCAAGGGCTTCCAGGAGCTGGGTGGGGGTTGGGGGCAAGTGACTAGGAAGAGATAGAGAAATCTCAGGACACTGAATTTAGCCAATCTTGTGAAACAGTGTAACACTAAAATGAACTTCCGTGTGAGGATACACTGTGGCAAAACCAGTGTGAGCCCACAGCTGAAGCAAATACACCACACCATTCAGGCTGGGAAAACAAACGGTGGGGGAGCCTAGGAGGCTTCCACCGGGTAAGGGGCATATGCTATG